CCCCCCCCCCCCCAAAAACGAAAATGACCTGCTCTACCGTTTCGACATTATGAAACAGGACGATTCTAGAAATGATGGATGCAACACCATGAGCGACTGGTCAAAAGAGTACTCTTGAAAGAGGAGGACAAACTTGTCTGTTTTTCATTTAGTAGTTTTATGCGAAGGGGAAACAAAATGGGGCGAATCGTCCTCTACACATGAATCGTATCAAATGACGTGATTGACGACCTTCATTTTTTTGTTTAGCCTAGTTTACTAGAATATACAGTTTCTCCTTTCACTGAAACGACGGGTGACAGAAGCCAGACTTCATGTCTGACACTGTCAGTGTGTTGAAAATAGACAATGTGTTCTCAAAAAAGGATTGCCGAAGAAACTCCGAGTGGACGGCAACAAGCTGACGAGCATAGCCATTTGTTCTACTGATTTAGATCAACACAAACATCTGCTTATATTCATCACTTTAGATGAAGATAATTAGGAGGACAAAAAATGATACACGTCTTTCAATTGTCTACATTCTGGCTGCTTATTGTTTTGGCTGCCTGCCAGGACATTAACGATATTGACCGGTATCTTGATCCTTTTGATCCCAAGTAAGCGATTTTTGGAATACTTTTGAGCATTAACTTAACCAACAAGTTACTCTCCTCAACAGCCCTCGTTTCATCGTCAAGAATGGCCACTTGATGGTGATGACGGGCCGGAATAAGGACCTTGTGTTCCGCTCCTCAGGCAATGGTCGAGTTAAGATAAATGGCGATGATATTGCCGCATTGAGGGCTGGTTCCATCGCTCCATCGTCAGCTGATCAGCAAAGCGGAGATGTGGCTGGCTCTCGCACTACCGATCTAGCCTTTCAAATAACCGAACTAGTAAACAGACGAGTGGAGGAGAGGATGGCCAGCATCAATGCCAGTCTGGAGGCGGATGATCGCACGGCGAAGCTTCGTCGTCGTCAGCTCTCCCGACTGCAGCGCAGCTTCAGCAAGCTGGAACGTCTGCTCAATACGGACGAGTGCAAACCGGTGAACCCTTGTCAGAATGGCGGCGACTGCGAGGACGCCTTTGGCAGCTATATTTGCCGTTGTCCAGCTGGCTTTCAGGTAGGCCGAGCGCTTTCAATGATCAAGGGATGAGCAACAACTAACCTTTTCATCCTTGAGCAAACCAGGGCGACAACTGCGAACAGGACGTGAACGAGTGCGAGCGGTACCAGGGCACTGAGTTGGGCTGTCAGAATGGCGGCACCTGTCTGAACACCTTTGGCGCCTTCCACTGCGTCTGTCCGGCGGCCTTCCAGGGCGTCCGCTGTACGGTCCAGTTCAATGACTGCCGAAACGCCTCCAGCCACGAGATCTGCGGCAGTGGAGAGTGCTTCGACCTGCCCAGGACGAGCAGCGGCGTCGCCCGCTACCGCTGCGTCTGCTACCAGGGATTCACCAAGAGCATCGCACACTCGGAGACGGCGCCCTGCGACGCAGACGTGGACGAGTGCGCCACAGGGATTCACCGATGCTCCCGCAATCCTCCCGTCGCCTGCTTCAACACCAGAGCCGGCTACCAGTGCGGCCCCTGTCCGGCGGGCTACACCGGCGACGGCTACAGCTGCACCCTCTCAGCTGATCTCTGCAATGTAAACAATGGCGGGTGCTCGCTCTCGCCACGAGTCAGCTGTTTCAGCAATCTGGGCCGTGTCATCTGTGGGCCCTGTCCGCCTGGTTTTGCTGGTGATGGTAATTTGTTTTCGCATTTGAATGGTTTGAGTTATTGACACACTCGTCTTCTCAGGAACAACATGCACTCAACTGGACGGCGACATTTGCTCTTCAGGCAACGGCGGCTGCTCATCGCAAGCTCGATGCGTCGCCAACACGGCCATTTCTGCCACATACCGAGACTGTCTCTGTCCGCCGGGCACCACCGGCACTGGCATCGGAACGAATGGCTGTACCCGGCTGACCGGGGACAGCAGCTCAATGTCCTGCGACAGTCGACCCTGTCAGAATGGCGGCACATGTGTTCCCTATCGAGGCGGGGTGTACTGCTCCTGCCTGGCGGCCTTTTCCGGCACCTTCTGTGAGCTTCGAATACTGAACGCCTGCAGTAGTAACCCCTGTCAGAATAGCGGTGAATGCGTGAACACCGGAACCGCAGGAGGTTACAGGTACGTGTGCAGTTTTCGTTTACCAATCAGCTTCTGCAACATTGTTTTAAAACATTGGCTTTGTGTCTAGCTGTCTTTGTAACAAAAGCTACAACGGGCGAAACTGCGATCAGCCCCGAGCAAACTGTGGCTACGAAGAGTTGGATTTTGAGGCGGGAGTTATAACGTATCCCCTATCTAATGACAGCAACATCAACAATGCAAACATCTGCACTTGGGTGATCAAAAACTCCAATAGTGAGGACAAAGTGCTCAACATCACCTTTACCAAATTCAATCTGGGGTCTAGAATGGCAACAAATTGCAGCTTTAGACGTCCAAATTTGGTCCTATTTGACGGACTCACTTTAGAGCACCCTAGGAAAGGTCCATTTTGCGGGAAAAATCTTCCGAATAGGGATGGAAACTTTATCAGCTCCTTCAACACTGTCATCTTGCGCCTTCAAACTGGTACATCAAACTCAACATCATCATCGGCTTCATTTGACTTGAACTGGCTCACAACAGAGCGAGGCTGCGGCGGCAAGTTTAGCGGTATGACTCACGGCCGAATCGATTCTCCTACGACTAGCCCTCAAAAAACGTCAAATGGACCACTGGAGTGTCGCTGGTCGGTGGAGGCAGATTTCGGCAAGCGGATTCAATTTGTCTTCAACCACCTTCAGCTACCATCAGCTCAAAACGCAGGGCCAGACTGCCCAAACTTCCTCGAAATTAGAGAAGGCATCGACTTCAGCCGACTCAACGATACCTCCAGCACAATAGTGCGCTTCTGCAATTGGACCTCAACGGCGGAGTTCTCTGCCCCTGCCCCGGTCACCTCGGCGGGCAGCTCGGTGACGGTGCTCTTCCGCTCAGCAGATGGCCGGGCCAGCCTGCAGGAGAAGGGCTTTCAGGCGCTCTTCCACCAGGTGCCCGGCGTCTGTGGGGGCGTGCTAACCAGCGCCCAGGGCACCATCAGCCCACCGATGCGCACCGCAGCTCGAGACGAGCTGGTGTACCAGCCAAACACCGCCTGCGACTGGCTGATCAGAGCACTGCCCTCGGAGCGAATCTCCATTCGCTTTCTCAAGTTTAGCGTTGAAGCAGGCGCACGCAGAGAGAATGGAGTTCGTCTCAAGGAGCGAAAGTGCATTCACGATGTGCTGGAGGTGCTGGACGGGCCGGAGAGCACTTCGCCGCTTATTGCCCGACTGTGCGGCTACCAACAACCACCGGCGTATACCAGCTCCGGGCGGTACATGAGAATCAGATGGAAGAGTGATGGCAGCGTTTCGCGACAGGGATTTATCATTGACTTTGTAAGTTGACTTTGATGTTGTTGTTGTTGTTGTTTAAGTGCTATTTAGCTGAATAACTTTGATAACACGACTTTCCTCCACTCAGAAATCAATTTGCGGTCGTGAGGTGGAAGTGGACACGACCAAGAGCTCCACTCTCATTCAGTCGCCCGGCTACCCGGCGCCTATTCAAGCAAGCAAAAACTGCACCTACGTCCTGATTGCCCCTCCCGGCTACGCAGTGAAGCTGACCATCGAAGAGATGGACATTGAGCCGGATGAGAAGTGCCGCTTTGACTATCTACTCTTCGGTGGGCAGAAGTACTGCGGCAGCAGTCTGCCGGCGCCCTTCTTTTCAATGGGCAGCGAGCTTCGCTTCACACTGGTCACTGACCGCTCCAGGCCGAGCAAGGGCTTTTCCGGTCACTACACTGCCTTCTCGCTGGGTTGCGGTGGGACGCACCGACAGGGCCAGCCGGTGGTGGACTTGACGCTGGAGCGCCTTGGTGAAAGACCGGCCACTGATTTGTGCTTCTGGGAGCTTCAGGCCAATCAGTCGTACCTGGTCCTGTTGCAGTTCCAGCTCACTGAAGCAAGTGCGCTGCTATTTCAAGACGACTACTACAGAAAGCCTTGCTCGGAACGGTCCTCCTACATACTGGTCAACGACACCGATGGAGCGCTGATCAGGCGGTTTTGCCCTGATGAGCGGCCACTGCCGATCAGCTCCACCGGCACCAAGCTGTACATTACCTACGTTCTTCGGTCGGCGACCTTTTCCACTGACCGAGCTTTATTCAGCAGCAAATCAACAGCAAATGAATCAACCGCCAGCATTCCTTCCATAAACACTTCCACGACAGGGTCAGCGAAAAAGCCATCGTCGCTGCCTCCAGCTGAAGAACGGAACGCCTTCTACCTTAGCTACTCCTTTGTAAGGAAGACCACTTTCTGCGACAGAAACTTTTTCGGTAACTCCGGTGTAGTTCGGTCGTTTCGCTTTCCTCGACGTTACACCGGTGAGCATAAGAGGGTTTTTGTTTTAATGTCTTTTGACATTTTTTTACTTTATTAGGCGGGCTTAACTGCACCTACATCCTGCACGTCGAGAATGGTCAGCAGATAAAGCTGAACGTTACCTTCTTTGAGCTGGAGCCGCCTTCAAAGCGAACTGGCCAATGTTATGACCAGCTAATCATTCGCAATGGTCGTCGACCGGACTCTCCTCTAATTGGTAAAACGAGATGTTACTCAGGTTTTACTGTACTTTTCACCTTGATATATACTTTATTAGGAATTTTCTGTGGAAAAAGGCGTCTCCCTGATATTGTTTCCCATTCAAACTACCTCTTTTTGCAGTTCACAACCGATCTGTCCAAAGAGTTGGGAGGTTTTGAAATATTCTACGAAACAATCGGCATGGGTTGCGGCGGACTGCTGACTGCCGATTCAGGAATAATCGAATCGCCAAACTATGCGACTTACCAAACGTTGACCGACTGCAGCTACTCCATTCAGGTGGCCCAAGGTTCGGCCATTCAGCTGTACTCTGTTGATTTGAGCCTACAGCCAAGTGGTCAAAGCGGCTGTCTTTTTGAAGTGAAAGAACTTCAAATTTGGGATGGAGCGGATGAGGGTGGAAGGCCGTTTGGTCGCTTCTGCAGAACCGCCAACAGTGACAACCAACTTCCGCAACTCATCTTCACCTCAAGCAGCAACAAAGCGTTCTTAAGGTTCAAGTCAATCAACCCAACGACATCCACAGCGAGCACCAGTAGCTTCCAGCTCCGGTACACCACCTTGTGCAACCGAACACTGTCGGGCACTCACGGCGTCATTGAGTCACCCAACTATCCCAATCCACATTCGCACAATCTGAGCTGCGAGTATCACCTCCTGGTGCCCAGGGGAAACAATGTGACCGTTTCCTTTACATCGCTCAATCTGGAGCAGCTCATTCGACGAAGCAGTAAAATTGACTGCTCCTACGATTACGTCAACATTAGCCAGGTGAACAGAACTCATCAGCTGTCCATTGACCAGGTGGACCTAATCAGCCTACTGATGCCTGTGAATCAGTCGGCTTTTCTGAACAGCAAAACCTTCTGCGGCAACTTCACCGGCAATCTGCCGCCGCCAATAACGTTCACCTCAAATGAGCTGCTAATCACCTTCCAGTCGGACCGAACTGTCTCCGTCAACAGTGGCTTTCGCCTGGAGTGGGGCGCTGTTGGCTGTGGCGGCAGCTTCATTCTTCGGCAGAATGTCTATCGAAGGCGAAAGAACGTCATCACGTCCCCTAACTATCCTAATAAGTATCCTCACTCCGTTGAGTGTGTCTGGTGAGAAATTGCAGCTTTTTTTAATTTTTCAGTTACACTAAACGTTCATCGTTGTCCTCACCCAGGTACATCCAAGCACCAGAAGGTCATCGAGTTGATCTGATTGTAGAGGACTTGGCTTTTCATAGGGTGTCATGGTCTGAGTGTAGTGGCGGTGTCGACCACCTCTCAATTCTGGGAGGACCTGATTTAAACTCACCCGAGATTACCAAACTGTGTGGTCATACCTCTAATCAGCATGTCTCTTCTATTGGCAATCACATGACGGTTAAATTCGTCGGTGACAGCTTTGAAGGGTCGCGTAAGTTCTTTTTGCTATCTTATATTTGTTAACTAATGAGCTTTTTATTTGATTCAGCACGCGGATTTAAAGCCACTTTCACCACTGATGCGCAAGGCTGTGGAGGGCGTTACACGACTGGCTCTGGATTTGTTGCATCTCCTTCGTACGACGGTCGAGGCAGCCACTATGACCCTCACTCAGACTGCTCGTACACCATTGAAGTGGGAAGTCACAGTAACATCATGTTGACGCTGAATGATTTGCAAATTCCCATCTTGGCGCCCGACGGAAACTGTAGTGCTGCCTATCTGGCAGTCTACGATTCAGCCAGCCAGATGGAGGGAAAGTTATTGGGCAAGTTTTGCGGTGATATGAGCTCGGTGGCGAATCCGGTGATGAACAGCACCAACGGCGTGCTCTTTCTGCGCTTCAAAGCCGATGGCCTACGATCAGGAAGAGGGTTTAACGCATCATTTAGCGCCTTATGCAGCAAGACCATTCTAATTCGAGATGAGGACCCCTACCAGGTGCTCACTTCGCCCAACTACCCTCATGTGATGCAACGGCAGTATGACTGCTACTACATTCTGAAAGCAGCCAATCCCTCGTCCACCATTGCCGTTCAGATGACCAACGTTCAAATTCCTACCTACAAGCATCAGCAGGTCGGTAATGAGTGCAAGCGTCACCACATTAATTTTTACAATGGAGAAGCTGCGGTGGCGGATAAACTGCTGCACCACTACTGCTTGAATGAAATAGTACCGCCAATTATCTCAAGTGGAAGCTCTATGTTCATCGCCTCGCTTTATACCGTTTTTCGGCTCATGGTTTCGTCGGTCAATGGCTTTTGTGGCGGAGACTTTAACGCCCTTGCTGGTGTTGTGTCCAGCCCGGTAAGAAGGATTTTACTGAATGGGTAACATGTTTTGAGTTAATTCGTTCATTTAGGGATACCCAAACAGCTACACAACTAATATTGAGTGCATCTGGGTTCTGAAGGCCTCTCCAGGAAATAGATATGAGCTTGAAATGATGGACTTTGACCTTGAAGCATCAGACTACTGCAATGGCGACTACGTCGAAATTCGACAGGGCAGCTCTAGTGGAGCGCTTTTTGGCGGCCGTCGCCTCTGCGGCAGTAAGGACAGTCTCCCAAGTTTGGACTCTCTATTTATTGGTGATATTTGGATCAAGCTTCGAACTGACGAAGCGACAGTAGCAAAAGGTTTCATGCTGCGTTTCAAGACCGCTACCAATGTAGTGCTTTCCGGAGAAACGGGACAAATTGCTTCACCGGGTATGTATGTGTGCCCCTTTTGTTATGACAGCTAACCGATATTTGAAATAGGCTTTCCAAACGGCATCTACGCTCTGAACCAGAGTTTCACGTACTCCATTGTCGTCGCACCGAATCAATACGTAAAGATTGCTTTTGAGACGCTAGTTTTAGATGGCGGTTACAGTGACTACGGGTGTCGGCAAAAGCTGAGCATTTTTGACGGACTGCTGGATACCACCCAATTGGATGCCAGTTCAGTGGAGCAAAGCTCGTATCGTCACTTGCCGAGACCAAAACTCCGTCTGTGCTCCACGACACACCCACCACCATTTGCCTCGGAGGGCAACGCAGCCACAGTGGTCTTCTCGGCGACTCAGAACAACTTTTTGCAGGCCAAGTTCAGCTTTAAGTGGTCGATGATCAATCGCAGCGAGCTGGCGCAGCAGTTTGATGAGCACCTTGAGGGCGTTCCCGCCAACGTCAACTCTACCTTCAACCTTTTTGCTGGCCAGCTGGGCCAGTCGGTCAGCCTGACTGACGGCAACTACAGCCAGTGGACGGGAGCTAGAAGTGATGTCAACTTTTACCTGAGCACGCACAGTTGGCTGCACTGGAACCTCTCTTGGTCGGGGCTGAGCTTTCCCCATTCTGATGGCTGCTGGGAAAATCACATTTTTGTGTACCTCTGGAATGGCAACAAGTTCCAGAAGGCTAAAACCATCTGCAGTGGCAATTCAATCCGACCTTTAGAGCTGCCTGGCAGTAATCTGGTGAGGCTGCACATGCAATACAATCAGATTCTTTCTTTAACGCCGCAGCAGCAGCTTGACAGTGTGCCACACTACAATCTCACCCTGGTGCCAGTGTGCGGCGGAAACTTTACCGAGCCAAGTGCAACCATCAACTCTGAAGAAGTGGCTGGCAGGCCCTCTCTTTCCGGTGCTACCACCTGTCATTGGCTGGTCAGGGTGCGACAGGGAAAGACCATTGAGTTCACCGTGGTCTACTACTTCATTGGCGTCTGCAGCACGCAGCTGGGTGAATCTCTAAAGATCTTCAACGGCGACTCAGAACGTTCGCCCCTGCTGGCGCCGCCACTGTGTCACAATTCGAACATGACCTCCTTTAAGCTGCCGCAGACGGCGGGTAATGTTGCCTTCCTCGTCTTCAAGGCTTCAACGAATAAAGATGTAGGTGACCTTTAACTTTTCGTTTTTAGTTTTTACTAAAA